ACACACACACACACACACACGCACACACGCACACACGCATTCAGTACCTCTCAAGGCAAATTGAGGACTTTACACGATTCCTCGCCAGGCTTATTCTGTTATGTTCAATCTAAAGCCGTTAAAAACATAAAAACACACAAAACAAGCTTGACAGGAGATAAATTTGGTTATATTTCACAGTACAGTGTGTGCTGCATATGGAAGGGATAATGTATAGTCTTAGTATAGTCTATAGATAATGTATACTTTTTTACAAGAAAATGAATTATGTTTATGTATTTTGAATTATGTTTCAAATAGAAAGCAGAAAATATAGAAAATAGAAAATATATGTATATATTTTAGAATGTAATTAAAAAAAATAATAATTCAGCAGTCCTATGCATATATACATATACATATATATACATATACATGTATATATAGACACATATATATAAAGGCACACTTGGCATTCAAACTACTTACCTCTTTTTTGTAGAATTCTGCATTCTTTTCTGAAATTCACAATGACAAAATACAAAATATCATCAAAATATATTAGCTTTCCTGAAATGTTGCCATTAAAACGAAATCTGTACAGTCACTGAACTTTCAGATCTTGCAATGGAATGAAATGACAGCAGGAAATGAGGCAGTGTTTTAGAGATTACTTACTTGAACAAGGATGCATGATAACAAAAAACAGAAATAAAGAGAAAAAAGCTGTAGATGATGCTTGAACATGAGAGATTCTGCTGTGAATGTTTGTTCATATATTTTTGAAACTTGCTGTGTCTGTGTGTGTCTATGTGGATTACGTGTTATACATATACATATACATGTATATATAGACACATATATATAAAGGCACACTTGGCATTCAAACTACTTACCTCTTTTTTGTAGAATTCTGCATTCTTTTCTGAAATTTACAATGACAAAATACAAAATATCAAAATATATTAGCTTTCCTGAAATGTTGCCATTAAAACGAAATCTGTACAGTCACTGAACTTTCAGATCTTGCAATGGAATGAAATGACAGCAGGAAATGAGGCATTGTTTTAGAGATTACTTACTTGAACAAGGATGCATGATAACAAAAAACAGAAATAAAGAGAAAAAAGCTGTAGATGATGCTTGAACATGAGAGATTCTGCTGTGAATGTTTGTTCATATATTTTTGAAACTAGCTCTGTCTGTGTGTATGTGGATTATGTGCTGTTGTGGATGTGGTTAGTTGTGTTGTGGTGGTCAGTTCACTCACCAGCTGCACTCGTGTGTTCATGGTTCTTCTCTCCGGTCCATGGTCTATGCTGTCCAGTGTCCCCGGCTGAAAATGTGGTCAAAAAGAGATATACAGATCAATAACAACATTTGTTATTTGTTTCTAATGAAATGCATGTGCCAAGTCATTAGAAATGTGATCTCTGTATTCATGCTGGTATCTTTTGTAGAATTTTATAACATTTTTACAAAAGCATTTACTCTAAAATATCAAATGGTGTAACAAAATAAATATGTGACCCTGGACCACAAAACCAGTCATAAGGGTCAATTTTTTGAAATTGAGATTTATACACCATCTCAAAGCCGAATAAATAAGCTTTCCGTTGATGTATGGTTTGATAGGACAATATTTGGCTGAGATACAACTATTTGAAAATCTGGAATCTGAGGGTGCAAAAAAATCTAAATATTGAGAAAATCGCCTTTAAAGTTGTCCAAATGAAGTGCTTAGCAATGCATATTACTAATCAAAAATTAAGTTTTGATATATTTACAGTAGGAAATTTACAAAATATCTTTATGGAACGTGATCTTTACTTAATGTCCTAAGGATTTTTGGCATAAAAGAAAAATCAATAATTTTGACCCATACAATGTATTTTTGGCTATTGCTACAAATATACCCCAGCGACTTAAGACTGGTTTTGGGGTCCAGGGTCACACACACACACACACACATATATATATATATACACACACAGTATATTTTAAATATTTTTTCACAACATTATTTTTTTAAAATCATAGTATTTCTCAATTATATATTTTTTCAACTACACAGTAAAAATTATTTTTCGAAGTTCCAAAGATTATTAGAGTACGTTTTACAAGACAACAGTATTTCAGTCTTTCTACTTCAAAATTCCAAGTTTAATTCAATGTGTTACTACGTCATTTCTGTTATTTGTGAAAATGACTAGCAATTTCAATAAAATGAATCCTACATCACATTTTTTTTTCAGTGTGGCGAACAAACCACTCAGATCTTTTTTACAGTCTGAGAACAAACATACAACATTGACATTTTGATTTTCTCCCCACCAAAAATGATTAAAATACATTTTAATTAGAAATTCAAAAATTCATTGTCCATAGAATTTACTATAAATATGTTTGAAAAATATTGTGAGCCTTGCATTTTACATGCTTTCAAACTAACCCAAATCCCAGTAATGGCAGGTGGATTTAAAAAAATTTAATGGAAGCAGAACACCCCCTATCCTCTTAAGAGCTCAGCCAAAAGATGGAACCATTAGCGATATACCAGCACACACACACACACACACACACATCCTTTGCACTCATGTGTGAGTGTATTTTAAAGACACCAGTGTGTTCCACTCTTTTCTTCTGCCAGTATCTGTCCTCCCTTTCTTCCATTCTCCTCTCACTCTGTCCCCTTCCCCCTTTTTCCTTTGCTTTGCGATGCTTTTAACTGTCTGGCTGAATATTTCATAAGCAGAAGCTGGATACAGATATGAGGGCACGTGCAGGATGGGCACAGATGCTGTCGCTGCTTAAGCATCGTACACTGACTAATGCATTTGACATGCTTTGAATTTCTATATCACACAGGAGATACATTCAAAAATAAGCAGGATGTTAGTTTTCTGTTTATTTAACTTACGAACTGACAAAGATGGCAATACTATGGCACTCCAATGTACTTCAAAGAATACCATGGTATAAGTATTGCCAGCATTATTTACTTGATTTAAAATTATTTACAAATGTTGTATACGACTATTAAAAAAATTATTTTGGATTTAATGAAGAGGTCCATTTTGTGCTAGAATACCATGGTATAAGCATTGCCAGGGTGTTTTTTGTAAGTGTTATAAGTTTATAGAGTTCAGCACTTACAGGAGGTCTGTTCACTAGCCAGTAAGCTTGTTCCTGACACTCCAGCACTATACGATCTGCTTTCCGACGCTGTTTTGATGCCCTTTAACACAAGAAAATGAACATATGGCAAATGCACGGATGTAAAGTACAACAACAACCCTCAGAAAATATTTTGTATCGTTTTTTTTATTGATTATTAATATTTATTAGTGCATAAAACTTGAGTTTAAAAAAGATATTTAAATAAAATTCAGTGTTATTTTAGTATCATTGAGATCCTATTTCGGATTTTATTAATATTGCAAATTAGTTTTTATTTTTATATTTTCCATTTTCATTTTAAATTTGAATTAAAGTTTTGGTAATTCTGTTATATGTTTTTGTAATTTTATTTTTATTTTTTACACAGTTTTTATTCATTTTTATTTCTGTTTTAGTTTTTTAGTGTATCAAGTTAAACTAAATGAAAATGAGAAATGGTCCCTTCGCAACTAGATGAAATAAAATACATACTTTATTTATTTATATATATATATATATATATATATTCTTTTTTTTTCATTAAACTTTTATTTTAGTAACAATTAAAAAACAATTGTTTAAGTATTAGTAACTACAATAACCCTGCTAAAATTAAAGTAAAAAAGTTAAGCTAGGGGTCAATTTGTTAAGATTATTTAATGTATAAGCAGTTAAGTTAAAATCTATTAAACTAATGTTGAGTCAAGTGTAATAAAACTGTTTATTTATAAAAATAAAAAAAAACCCGTTGTAATATTCTAACATCAGTAGCTAAAAGTGTAGAGACATTTTTCACTTCAAATATTTAAATATACAGAAAAAAATATATACGTATATTTTCATGGTTGTACGTAGGCTACCTATTGGTGACATTTTCAGCATTATTTACTTGATTTAAAAAGATTTACAAAATGTTTTATAATTATTCAAAAACTTATTTTTGATTTTAGTAATGAGGTCCATTTTGTGATAAAAGTGCTTTTATGATTATTTTTTACACTTTGCTTTTATAATGCATGCAATAGAGGGCTAAATGTAATAGGCTGAAGGAAGCATTAAGTGTGTGTGTGTGTGTGTGCACGTTTAATCATGGAAAAGGAAAGTTACCTGAGCTGCTCTCTTGCCTGCATCACAACAAAGTCCCATGTGTGGTTGATACGTTTATGTAAAGCATTATAGCACTCCTAACAAAGAGAGAGATTGAGAAATGAACAACAGATCGCTCCACAGGTTCATGACTGCATTGTAGAGTCTTGTTTCTCTATGGTGTGACTGGCTTTTGACCTACATACCTTTTCATACTCAATTAGTTCTCCTTGTTTTCGGATATTCTTCTTGGCCAAGTAGATTGCTAGAACACATATAAATAAATGTATAAAAAAATATATTTACCTTCTGAACCTGCTGTGAAATATCTCCTTTTGTATTCTTTGATGCAAATATATTTCAGTTTGCTACAACATTTGGTAAATTAATTTTTGTCAAGTTGGGCTTCACCATAGTCCAGTTCTGAAGCAGGCCAGCGTGTTGACATCCAGTAATATGGCATCTGATAAAGACAGAGATTAATTCAGATGTGCTGACTTTGAATATGGAAATGTAGCAACTGCTGATACGGCATGGCATTTTATTTAAATATTATGTAAGTGTGAGTACATATAAATACCTGAAAGCGATAAGGTGAATCGTCAACTTTCAGAATCAGGTTTCTGGGCTCTTTTAAAGGGTAAATGTATCCGTACTTCACAAAGATTTGTCCAATGTGCAATGCCTCTAAATAAAAATGAGGGGGAAAAATCATATACATAATACATACCCACAAAAAATAATTAACTAAATAATTAGATAAAAAAATTGAATAATTATAAATCAAGTAAATGATTCTAAAAATAAAACCAAAGATTGCTAGTAAATTTCACAAATAATGACAAGTAACCCATTGAATTAAACATGAAATTTTTTATTTTATATCCCCAGATTTAAATAATAATAAATATAACAGATTTATTAGCTGGTTCAAGCTGGTCTTTAAATTGCTGACATGTTCCAAAAACCAGCTTGATTACCTGGTAGTTTCTTTATTGCTGATCCAAGATGGTCTACCAAAAGCCAGCTTACATTTATACATCTGGCAGATATTTTTATCCAGAGTAACTTACACTGCTTTTAAGCTATGCCTATTTTTTTAGTTCATGCATTATCTGGGATTCAAACCCATGACCTTAGCATTACTTTACTGTGCTCTAGTGTTTGAGCTACATGAAAACAGCTTAAAACTAGCTAGTTATTTTCCTAACACTCAGTTAACAAAGTCAACCAATGCTTTCTGGGGATAACATTATTTGAGAATACATGCATTTCAGTCTAATCATTGCCTACACATGGTGTTCCCTCACTGCAGTGCACAGATCTGCCAAACTCTCTGGAGTCTTGTTTATTTCAGACACAGCTGTGTGCAGCATTACTTGTTTATCAGGGCATTCTGAACCACACAGCCTGTTCTCTGAGAGTGTGACATTTGTGCATTTCTTATTAAAAATCTTGCACACAACTCAGCTTACATTACATAAAATCTGACTTTAATTTAAAGCAACTTTAATAAGCAATTTAGCTCCCCAAGGTTGTGTGTGTGTGTGTGTGTGTGTGTGTGGTGGCACATGGAGAATAATGTTGTCTCATGAGAACACTTTCTATAAGCCACACACAGGTAACTGGAAAGCTCAAAGAAATACACCACAGCAGATAGCATGGAAATTATTACACACACAGGCTCTGACATGCACACAGCAAGTCTGAAATCATGATGGAGCTACAAGGCAACTTATGAGCATCTTTTTTTATTATTTTGTAAATTAATTTCAAATGTATCACTTTTATGCACACAGTAAAACATTGGTTTGTTACATTTTCTGAAGAAGAAAAAAAGAATTGTTCTTGTCAATGCAAAAGTCACTGCCACATTAGTTTAATAATGACAACAACCTCTTTGTTCTTTGACAAAATATAGTTATATTGTAAGTTATATTAATGTCCTACCTTCATCAGAGATAGAACACTTCTTAATCAGCCATTCAACAATATCTGCACCTGTATAAAATCAAATAATACTACAGTCAACATAAGCACACTGTATCTGACAAAACATTGATCTATCTATCTATCTATCTATCTATCTATCTGTCTATCTATCTAGTACTTCACAGCACCAAGCTCATTAATATTAATATACATGTTCAAACAGCAGGAAGCTGCCATCACCAGCTTTGATAGAATAAGCATGTTTTTTCAGCAAACTACTGTTATATAAATAAATCATATAAATAGGCAGTTTTTTTCCTCACTTGAATAGATTTGGAGAAATGTAGCATTACATCACTAGTTCATCAGTTGAGCCATGACTTCTGGCCAAAATATGACTTGTTTAGAACTTTTTTTGCTTGTAAACGGTGCTTGAGCTGTGTATATTTCTCTCCTGAATCAGACGAGAAGACTTTTGCACTGGAGAAAGCATATTATGATTAAAATCAAAGAATACTACAGTCAACATAAGCACACTGTATCTGACAAAACATTGATCTATCTATCTATCTATCTATCTATCTGTCTATCTATCTAGTACTTCACAGCACCAAGCTCATTAATATTAATATACATGTTCAAACAGCAGGAAGCTGCCATCACCAGCTTTGATAGAATAAGCATGTTTTTTCAGCAAACTACTGTTATATAAATCAGTTATATAAATAGGCAGTTTTTTTCCTCACTTGAATAGATTTGGAGAAATGTAGCATTACATCACTAGTTCATCAGTTGAGCCATGACTTCTGGCCAAAATATGACTTGTTTAGAACTTTTTTTGCTTGTAAACGGTGCTTGAGCTGTGTATATTTCTCTCCTGAATCAGACGAGAAGACTTTTGCACTGGAGAAAGCATATTATGATTGAGGACTATTTTAGCCAGAATCAACGGTTTGAAGTTAAAAACGTCTTAGTGACGGATTTACAAGTCAATAATTGATGAGTTGTGTGGATTATTATGATGTTTTTATCAGATGTTGGAACTCTCATTCTGACGGCACCCATTCACTGCAGAGGATCCATTGGTGGGTAAGTGATGTAATGCTACATTCTCCAAATCTGTTCTGATGAAGAAACAAACTCATCTACATCTTGGATGACTTGATGGTGAGGAAATTTTCAGCAAAATTTTTTGGGTCAGCTGTTCCTTTAAGTGATTTTGACCTGTAATTATCTTTAATTTGCCAAAGAAAGTAATTTGTTCATTTACTCGTAGCCCCGTGTCCTCTGAGAGACCACAGCAGGCGCAAAACATGCACTGTTAGACTAATTAATAGCAAGAAAAATGAGCACAGAGACTGAAAGCACACACAGGAATCTAATTTCACTGCGCAAGCTTCTATTGATTCTCTGTCCTCATGCGCACTCAAGACTTTCCAAGATGGATGCATGGATACTTTGCTGTTAAATGCCAACTTTTCCCACAGTAACAATAGGGAAATATTCTAGTCGTGCCTCAGCTGTCTCTTTAATCGTGCCATAACATGTCAGGGGCTGGAAAATACTCAGAACAGTCATGTCCATTTGGGATTATCAAGAGAGAGTGAGTGAAGCTTGAAGTTTGATGCAGTCATGGAGAAAGAGAGAGAGAAAGAGCAAGAGAGAGACTCACCAGTCATTGCGTGTGGTATGACCGTAATAAGGAGACGCTGTTTGCGCAGCTTGATGCCCATATCAGGATCCTGCATGGATATGATCATGCGCTCCATCTGTATTTGGGCACACATGAAATATATGTACTTTTAAAAATTCCTTTATCACACACACAACTATTTGCAAACTGCACAAAAGCTAAAATATGCTTAAAATTGTGAAAAGCATAAAGAAAAATAATATAAAACTCTACACATTCCCTTATAAAAAATAAATTAAAAAAACGTAATCTTGAATAATTTTTAAAAATCTGTTTATTCGAAGTAAACAGATAAAAAACATCAGGATGCACCTCTGAACAAATACTAACTTTATTATTTCAGTCAAATATTATACATTTTTAAAATACATTTTTATTATATAAAATTTCACAAATTAATAAGTTGTTTCAATGCTAAAGAAAACAGCAAAAGCATCAACACGATAAACATAACAGGAGGAATTGGATGACTTGTTGGTTTGTTTTTAAAGAACTGCTGTTATATAAACCAGTTATATAAGTAGCCTAAGAAAAAGCAAACACAACTTTAGTTTCGTCTTTTAGGACTTTAACACATTTTTTTTTAGTAATGCGAAGAATAGTTCCTATAGTCTTACAGGCAACAACTGTAACATTATGAAGCTCTGGCTCGTTTACAGCAGATGTAAGACTGTAAGAGCTAAATGAATATACATCTTAGAGTCTCACCTTAGTCAGACAAGGCATTTGCTGTCGCTGCACTCCGTCCTGACTGAGTGTGTTAATAGTCATGTTGACGGCTGCTCTGGATGTGAAGTTGAAGACAGCTGAACGATGCTTACTTATACTGATGCTGGAGAGTCTGCTGTCCTGTCAGAGAGGCGATGGGGTGGCGCTACATTAGACTACCACATGTGCCATAATCAGGTATGAAATAGCGCCTCCCTGTGGTGACTGATTCAAATTGAAACAAAATCAAACAAGTAGTGGATACTTCAGCTTCACATTTTTAGTTATTTGTTTATATATTGTAACATAAAAGTAATGGGGAAAGTGATTATTTTAGGTGGGCAGTCGTGGCGTGTAACCCAAAGGTCGCAGGTTCGAGTCTCGGTAGTCGGTACCGGCAGGGATTGTGGTAGGAGTGAATGACCAGCGCTCTCTTCCTCCTTCAATACCACGACTGAGGTGAGACACTTGAGCAAGGCACCGAACCCCCAACTGCTCCCCGGGCGCCGCAGCAAAAATGGCGACCCAAAAATGGCTCAGGGTGTGCGTGTGTGTTTGTTCACTACTCACTGCTGTGTGTGTGCACTTGTATGGGTGAAATCCCAAATTCCAAGTATGGGTGTCACCAGGGGTGGTTCCAAGGGGTTAGCCCAGAGACATCCATGTAGGCCTATGTGTCACAGCTATATATATATTTACATTGAGTAAGTGGCTTTAAAAAAAGCCAAGTATACGCCTAATTAAACATGCAGGGTTCTATACACATTTTTTATTTATTTCTAGCACTTATTTACACTGCACTTACAAATTGCATAAATAATATTATGAGATTAATGTTTTAAATATAAAAACGGCAATATAGAAATAAAATGCTAGAAAAAATTGAATAATACTTTAAAATGTGAAACTAAAATTACCAGTAGGTGGCGGCAAACCACTGTCCTAATAAGTGAGTCACTGAGTCATTTATTCAATGGATTCTTTCAAAATGACTGATTCATTCAGGAACGAAGTAAGAAAGTTTTTATGAATGGATCAGTGAATCATTGAATCTCCCGATTTGTTCAAAAACACAAATTCATTCAGTAAGGAAACGCCGCTGTGCGCTGCTGCAGATTGCTGCAATATTGTCTCTACAATTTAAATAACTTACTATTTATTTTTGTTCATTGAATTGTTGCCCTGACACGAAGAAAAGTCTGCCACAGACCATGCTAACCAAACCGTTTATATGATCGCTCTAAATGCGTGTGTCCTAGGAAGACATGGCAGCATATAATTATATGATTAAATATCTATATTTGTTGCTTTACAGTGACAGGGTTAAGTAACAAATAACCTAAATTCAAAAATAACAAAATCGGTTTTACAGCATAAGTTATACACTTGCAAACACTTGAAGCAGCTGCTGTAACTTTTATCGCTGGTTGGCCAGTTTACATGTCAATCAGAAGTACGAGCCTCAGTGGGCGGGTCTTGTTGGGAGTGAATGACAATGCAAGCAGAATGCAAGTAGACACTGTTGGATGTGCAGAGAGCAAATCTGCGGTAGGCTACTAATAGAAATTATTTTAATGCGCATGAAAACTCAGTGATGATTCATAAAGAGCATAGTAAAAACATTCGGTGCTTGACTGAAAACATTCGGGGCTTCAGCCCCCTTAGCCCACCCCTAGCACCGCCCCTGGGTGTCACCATACTTGGCCACATGTCCTTTCCTTTCCTTTCCTTTTTCAGGACCGAGTTTGGGCAGCCCTGCTATATACCATTGGTCTCAAACTCAGTTCCTGGAGGGCCACAACTCTGCACAGTTTTGCTCCAACACTAATCAAACACACCTGATCCAGCTAATCAAGTTCCTCAAGATCACTAGAAACTTCTAAGCAGGTGTGATTTGGAGCTGGTTGGAGCTAAACTCTACAGAGCTGTGGCCCTCCAGGAATTGAGTTTGAGACCACTGCAAGTATATTGTTTGGAGTCACTGGACAGTACCTCCAGTACACAGGTGGCGCTGATCAGCCGCGCTTTTCTTTACTCAACCGAGTCTACAATGTCCTTTACGGGGTTCCGTAGTTATTTTGTGATGAGCAAGTTTCACATTGTCAGTTATGGGCGATATACATTTGCAGATTGAGAGAAGCTAGTGTAACGAGTCTAATTATTAATCCAGGTAAGGGTGTTGTAAGTATGAATATGTTATGTAGTGTGAACCAAGGAAACATTTGGCAAATTAAGGAACCGGTGATGCAGCAATCGCGCTGTGTAAACGGCATCGATTTAGACAATGTGTGTCACCATAGAGAATAATGATTGACAGTTTTCGATTATCACATTCATAATTCAATAAGAGGTATTTTAAAACGTTTCAATTCGTTTTTCTACAGACACATTATATTCAGAGCCTCTCTTTTCACTTTTTTTTCAAATTTTTTTTTTAAATGACACGTCTTACAACAAAATAGTGCGGTTCCAGTACAGTTACTGTAGAAGACTGTACTATAAACGCCAGGGAAGGAAAATATACCATGGTATACTCTAGTATTATCTAAAAAACATGATAAATGGCCAGAATCTATGGTATTACCATAATGCATGTCAAACAAACATAGTATTACCACGATGCATGTCCAGAAATAATGCATAAAATTATATATATTACTATGATATATATATATATATATATATATATATATTATTATTATTAATGACTGATTTATGTCTTTCATATTTCTAATTTTCTCAGTTTGGCTGCTGCTTGTATTTAATGTTGTAGTTTCTCTTCCCCAGCAGAGATGAGTGATTTTCGGCATGCATTGCTGCGGCGTGATCCGCTGAGCGCGGCTAAAGAGGTTCTGTATCATCTGGACATCTCACTGGGCAGCGCAGTTACTGTAGAAGACTGTACTATAAACGCCAGGGAAGGAAAATATACCATGGTATACTCTAGTATTATCTAAAAAACATGATAAATGGCCAGAATCTATGGTATTACCATAATGCATGTCAAACAAACATAGTATTACCACGATGCATGTCCAGAAATAATGCATAAAATTATATATATTACTATGATATATATATATATATATATATATATATATTATTATTATTAATGACTGATTTATGTCTTTCATATTTCTAATTTTCTCAGTTTGGCTGCTGCTTGTATTTAATGTTGTAGTTTCTCTTCCCCAGCAGAGATGAGTGATTTTCGGCATGCATTGCTGCGGCGTGATCCGCTGAGCGCGGCTAAAGAGGTTCTGTATCATCTGGACATCTCACTGGGCAGCGCTCTGCAGAGCTCCACCGGCCCCACGCCTGGACTAGAGAAGAGCATGGTGGAGCTGGTGGAGGAGTTCATCTTTCATGTCCCTAAAGACAGGAACATCCAGCCTAAGGTGAGGCACAGGAGTATTAAGTCTGCTTTGGTTTAAAGGAAAAAACTGTATGTAAACATGTAATGCCATGGTCCATGGTGTTCTTTAACGTAGAGACCTTAAATCATCAACATTCATACACCACTGCTATTATGAAGAAAAGCAAGCATGGGCTGCTGCGTGCATGGTTTGGCATGGTAGAATGCGAGCAAAGAGCGCTCCCTTTATAATCACTAAAAAGCTGACATCTCAGTTCATCGCGATCTCACAAAGCTCTGTTATAACACAATGAATATAAGCACAATGAATCTTTCATAATGTCTACACTTTGTGTGTTACAATGAGAGGATTCATGAGCACACAAATTTCAGCACTGCACAAGAACTCCAGTGTTTTGAGCGGTGAGCGGATTCTAACTTAAACGCCTCTGATTGGCCATTGCGTTCCAGAAATCAACAGATATGTCTGTGATTGGCTACATTGCTCAACGCTGCAAAAACGTGTTATAAATAGAAACTCAAGCTGTGCCTGAAATCGCTCACTCGTTCACTCATTCACTAATCCCTATATAGTGTATGGGAGTTGAGTGCACTATATCAGAAAGGAGTGAACAAAATGAAGTGAGCGAATTCGGACGCTGACACTGCGCGTCAGAGAGCTGGAGCTGTCGCAGAAACATCTTCGTCACAAATGAACATTTATATTACATGTTAAACTCTCATTCACACTCGCTTGCTCTCGCTATCTCTTTCCAGCTTGTCGGTCCTCTCCACATTGGATTATGGGAAATAGTGCTTCAGCGAATGTACATCAGTTGTACACTCGAAATCAAAGAGGATTGTGGGTAAAATGTAGTGAACGAATGTAGGGAATTAACTCGTTCACTCAGAATTTTATTATAGTTATTTTCAAAGCTTTCAATGTACTCTCATTAAAAAAGAACTTAAATAATGTTTATTAGTTCTAACAAATAAGTTCAAAGCGAACCAAAATGAAAAAATAATTTGATTAGAATTTCTGAACGGGAGAGACTTGGTGTTGTTTCAAAACGAAAGGAAATGTATATTGTATCGGCATCGGCTATCGGCCAAATGATTCGAAAAATATTGGCAAAAATCTAATATCGTGCATCCCTACTTTGAGTTTGAAGTCTCTTATGCTCACTAAGCCTGCATTTATTTGATCACAAATGCAGCAAAAACAGTAATACTGTGAAATATTATTACAATTTAAAGTACATAACTGTTTTTTTGTAATATATTTTAAAATGTAATTTATAGAAATAATGTGGTGATCAAGAAACATTTCTTATTATCAATGGTGAAAACTGTTTTTGTGGAAACTGTGATATATCTTTTTCATCATCTTTTCATTGATTGGAAAGTTAAAAAAAGAACAGCATTTATTTGAATTAGATTTTTTTATTTTTTTGTAAAGATTATAAATGACTTCTCTCAATTTTGATTAATTTAATGTATCCTTGAATAAAAGTCTTTCTGTAAAAGTTCCGTAAAATCAAGTGAATGGTGTGTTGTGTTTGACTCAGAGGATGAGCTGCATTCAAGAACTGCAACTGCTGGAGATCATGTGCAGTTATTTCCAGGAGCAGAGCAAAGATGCAGTCCGACAGATCATTTTCTCCGCCCTCTTCAGTCTCCAAGGCAACAAGGCTGATGAGAGCCGCATGGCCATGCTTGGGAAGCTAGTTTCTATGGCGATAGCCGTGTGTCGGGTGCCCATTCTAGAGTGTGCAGCCACCTGGCTACAGGTGTGTGATATATATATATATGTGTGTGTGTGTGCGTGTGCCTTGAGTTCAGTGTTTTAATGTTAATTCATGGTTTCTTTGGAGCATGGTAACTCCGTTTAATAGATAACTGGTTCAGAATGCTTATTGGGAGTTTCACAAAAACTACCAAGAAAGGTGTTATTAAAGGTGTATTATTTAGTACTATTATAGCATTTATTAATAATAACTTTATTAATAATAAATAGCTTTATTTTTTAGATTTTCAGTTTTCATTTTAGTTTTAGTAATTCTGTGCTTTTTAAAATGTATATTTCTATTAAGCTTTTATTTACTTTGTTTTTAGTTTTAGTAATTTTAGCACTTCCACTTAAACTTTTTTTTTTTTTTACCAAGGCATTATTTCTAATTAAGTTTTCATCTAATATTTTTCAGCTTTCTTTCAAGTTTAATTGTAGTTATAACGCTTTTTAATAGTTGTAGTTTTAATTACCAATAGCAACACTGTTCAAGAAATATATTGTTTAAATAGTATATTGTATTTTTACGTCATGGTAGTATTTGTTATACTGTCGTTAATATATGCTTTTTTTAATGCAAAAAATGAATGTTAGAAGAAAGTTAGTTTTAAATGGATAAAATGTGACCTGACAGCTTTTGAAACATTTCTGATGGTTTTTGTGTAGCGCGCACACTCTGCGTGGTGTGTGCGTTTGGCTCAGGTGCTGATGGATGATTACTGCACACTGGTGCCGTGTGCCATCTCTACCCTGCAGAACATCTGTTCAGCCAGTCCTCGCTTTTGCTGTCAGCTCATCACTGCAGTAACGGCTCTCTATGAGTTCTCCTCAGGTACCATTTTTCGTTTTTGTCAACAACTTAAAAAAACAAAAACAATTATCAGTCTACTTTATTATGTAGTGAATATTATAAAGTATTGAATGTATGTTATTATAATATTAAATTATAATGTTTTAATATAAGGTCCTTAAAAATATAAAATATTAACTAAAATAAATATAAACTAAAAATAAATACAATATTGTATATATAATATATTTGATATTGTCACTTGTAGATGAGTTAACTCCGCCCCCTGCACTCTTGGAGATGCTGGTTGGTTGGATCACAGAAGATCCCAGACTACTGCTCCTCACCTTCATCAACACACCCCTCAATTCCAGCCTGCCATTAGGCTGTCTTGAGATCACGCCTCTTTTGGGTCTGCTCCGGTGGTGTGTGAAAGCTCCGTTAGCTTATCAGAGAGGCCCAAAGTCGGCTTTGACCAATGGCCATGGAGAAAGTGAAAAAGGGACAGCGTATGAAGAGCTGTACTCTAAACTGCACCTGAGTGTTCTTCAAGTCTTTCTCATGCTGCAGGTGTTGTATTTATTGCAACTTTAAAAGGCCATTCAGTATTAGATTATATAATGTGTTTTTATTTAAACTCCTACAGGTCCACCTGACAGAACAGAGTTTGATTGGTCGGCTAGCTGTGCTTCCAGTGGAGTCTGTTGCCGCGCTGATAGAGGAAGTCAGCCGTCTGTGTGAGAAGCTCATGCCCCTCCCTGCTGCCAATCATATCCAGCTGGCACTGGATAGGCTGGCCCAAGCTCTTCAGGTCGCCATGGCAACAGGAGCACTTCTGTGTGCCAGAGGTAAGTGATGCTTACTTCATAATAGCCTGTTTACTCCATGATACACTGGGCAACTTTTTAAGCAATGTTGCCGGGCAACTTTGGGCAATGTTGCTGTCAATGGGCAACCAGGTGAGACACAGGGCCCACGACTGATCTAAAGTATCCAGATAGAAATTTGTTACCCATTCTCAATGGGAAAGTGCCCAAGCAACATTGCTCAAAAAAAGTTGCCCGGGAAAATTGCTCAAAAAGTTGCCCCATGTATCATTTGTGTTTAGATCTGAAAAGAGCAGCATTTCAGTGATGTCATTTCCTGTCATGTCATTTATTCCTCAGAGGACCTACGGACTTTGTGCTCCAGACTTCCTCACAACAAGTAAGTCACTGATCACATAGAAGGTGAAACCTGATAATGCAGATTTGAATATTAAAATGATATTGAATAATTTGTGGCCATTTTAAGATTAGCACAAGCCCCTATACATACATTGCTGAATAATGATGAATGAAGTATTTTATGCTGGTCTATTTATATTATGTTTTATTACATGTGATACAGTAGATGATATATATCTATATCGACATCTCCATCAACCATTCAGAAACCTGAATCGGTAACTCACTATTTTTGTGAGCATTGAGTAGTAACAGTTTGCTTTGTGTTGCAGTCTGTTACAGCTTGTGATGTCCGGTCCAGTAGTGCAGCCTCCACCTCACAGCGGACCCTTCCAGCCCAACATGTACCCACACATCCACCCGGGTCGACCCTCTGTGCTTTCTCCCCACAGTCCACACCAGTCCGCCCTCCCCTCCCCCCACAGCCCGCACCCCGTACTGTCACCGCACACCCCACACCCAGCTCTGTCCCCACATCGCCCGCTAACGGCCCACGCCGCACACCCTTCTCTCTCTCCACACGCCTTCCATACTGCTGCCATGGCCTTTCCATACCGGCCCATTCATTAACCAGCAATACAGGACTTTTGGACTACTCTGCTTCCTCTTGGGATGAGAACAAACTATTTTTGTTTTATTTTATATTAGAGAATCTTCAAAACTTTTGGTTTGAACTTGTAGTCACATGTTTGGCTTGGTCAGGTTATATGGTCTTGTGTATCATAAATTGGGATATGCATTGTATCATTTTAGGTTTGATAAGGACTTTAAAAAGCGCTTGTACAGATTGATGCAGTCATACCTTTTAAACAATAATATTGTACAAACCATGAAATATATTTTTGGAAAAGTGACATTTGTGGTTATTTAATGGACAGTTTAAATGGCAAATCAGTTTTTATACTTAAAATTCGTAAAATACTTAATTTTCCTAGTGAAAATATTCATTTTTGGTTTCAAAAAGCAATTCGTAACAAACAAGCAAAAAACAACAGAAAATATCAGTTAAGTAAATACTTTTATTCATCAGTCTAAAATGTGCATGCGAGTAGGTTGAAACGGAGAATTGCAATTTCATTTTTTCAAATGTGTTGCTAATAAAAATAAGAACCTATTATGTTTTACACCTTTTATGCGTTTAGCTCAGAATATGTACAGTACTCTTTCTTACGGTGTTGAAGTCATACATGTGAAATATACGCACCAATATCATATCCATACAGAATATATTTCCTGTTTATTATAGTGTTTGCATTCACTTATTTTACTTAAGCAAGCAGATTAACAACACTTCCAACCAAGAACTATTGGTTGTTGTCAGGAAATTAACTATTAAGTCAGTTTAATTTGAGCAAAAATCGATCAATTCTAAGTTAATAAAGCCCTTTGTCCTGATGTCTTTTTAAATTCCTCTTATGAAAATGAGACTTAAATTGTTGCACCTTCACCATTAATTTTAGTTAAGAAGTTAGTCCAGCCCACACCTATCTTTATTAATCACTTTTGCTCCTGATAAAAAAAAACAGTAATCCTTAACACATGTACAGTAACATTTTATGAAACCCATCCTGTCTTAACTGAATGATATCTGTCTTTTCATTTGGACCAAAGTGTTTAATAAAAATAAGAGTTTAAAGTGTATATTGTCCAGTACTGACATGACTGAAGGCACAGATGTTCAGACATAATCACTGCACCAGTCAGTTCCTTAAACCTGTAAATAATGCATCAGATTACATATACAATGAGCACGTACAGATGTACTGTATGTACCAAGTTTATCCAGTACCTGTCATGAGGTACAATCATTGAAATACACAAAGACAATAATGGCTTAGACATGTCAAGTGAGACTCCTATTCATAATTTCACAGTTCATGGACGTTGTAGTCTTCTACTGTACTTCATTCTAGATGGCAGAGGTCTTTCAGTTGAAGGAGAGCTCCTTGCAGATCCTCACTGTGTCCTCAGGTGACTTGACCTCATGACCGATTGTTCTGGGGTCTACAAAGATTTCATAATCGTTTCCCCCCTGTTTGGGAAAACAAAAACCATCACAAAACTGCTTAATTCAAGCAAGTCTGGGAATTTTATGAAATAGCATGTGTGCATGAATGCATGAATACTACTGTTAGTCAAGATAGCATCACAGATTTTGGGCTCACAGGCATAGTTTTGTCTCCAAAGAAATGGATGCGCTGGTATGAGTCTTTCTCTACAATTCCCAGACAGTAGCGCTTATCCCAGCCTTCTGGAAACACATCAAAGCTGATCTGCCCACCTGCAGAAAAAAAAAAACATACATATGAATACATTATGTATATATTATTGACTAGACAACCACATATACTGTACATAAAAAGTTACGAACCAATGGAGAAAGCTAGTCCTTTCCCAGCAAACTCTTCTTTTAAAACGGAGACAAACTTTTCTCTAATTTTCTCCTTCTGCATAATAAGAACATTAAAAAAGTCAATCAACCTTTAATGACACCCTTTGAAAAGACAATGGCATGTGTTGATGAATACATAAAAAAAATGAACAGTACTCATGAACACTATAAATACACTGAATGTTTTGTGCATATATTTGTATGTGTATTTAAATAGATTTTTGTAATTATTATACATACCATCATCACCCAACTGCTCTTTAATTTTGTCCAAGTCTGATCCTCCGACCACCCCGACTCTCACTCGCCGTCTCAGTTCAATCAAGAACTGATGCATGTCAGGAGTTGCTTTCTACCTTATCAAGTTCAAAAAATTCGATTCTTTCCTCTTGGCTGCAGCTTCGACCAATTGGAGAGACATTCAGCATTCCAGTACGGAATTCAATAAATGTGCCTCTGAGATGAAGTAAAAATACCGTAAGTATTATGGTTGCAAACAAAGATGTGTATAAAAAAAAGTGTATAATATATATGTGTGTGTGTGTATATATATATATATATATATACTGTATATTTGTAATTATCATGATGTTGTATTTGAGTAAAATATATTTACATCATTCAAAACTCAGTAAGATTTTTATTTAATACAGCAAAACAGTAATAAGTGAAATATTATCTTTTAAAATGTAATTTATTTTTGTAATGTCAAAGCTGAATTTTAAGCAGCCATTAATCCAGTCGTCAGTGTCACATGATCTTTCAGAAATCATTCTAACACAGTGTTGCCAAGTTTACGTATTTCTTCAGGAATTGGTCTACTTTTATACTGTTGATAGCCTATTTCCCCTGGAACGCGATTGGTCTGGTTTTAGCCATGATTGGGCTAGTTTTGTTACGCAGACCTGGCAACCCTGTTCTAATCTGTTGATTTGATACTCAAGAAACATTTCTTATTATCAATGTAGAAAACAGTTGTGCTGCTTGATATTTTTGTGGAAACCATAATCATTTTTTTTTTCAGGATTATTTGATGAACAGAAAGTTCAAAAGAACACAATTTTTTGGAAATAGAAATCTTTTGTGACATTATATAATCTTTACTGCCACTTTTAGATCAATTTAATGTGCTAATTGCTGAATAAATGTATTAATTTCTTTTAAAAAAATCTCACCGACCCCAAACTTCTTAACGGGTGTTAAACTATTTTTTAAGATATTTAAAATAAACTTTAATATTGGCAATCAGTATTGACAAACTTTAAAGTAATGCAGTAAAAATATATTTTCCCCCATGCAACAAAAGACGTAAAGTTGTGATAGCTTCACCTTTTTTTGGGCAGTTTTATCTTTGAAAGGTAATTGAGGCAGAAATTGATGAAATCCTGTAAAACCTCCTCTCCCATGTATGCCTGAATATTCTGATTTCAAAAAAGAAATTAGAAATAGAAGAAATCCAAATAGAAAAGCAACTTACATAATTTGCTGGACAGGTTTTTGAGCATATTTAATAGTAAACTGAGAATGAAAATTACCTGTATAGAGTGCAGCTGCCCAAACCGGTATGCTACCAAACCGTTCTCAGCAAATACATAATCCACTCTATCAATCACTGTAAAGGATATGAAAAGTTTAAGTACTCATGAACACTATAAATACACTGAATGTTTTGTGCATATATTTGTATGTGTATTTAAATAGATTTTTGTAATTATTATACATACCATCATCACCCAACTGCTCTTTAATTTTGTCCAAGTCTGATCCTCCGACCACCCCGACTCTCACTCGCCGTCTCAGTTCAATCAAGAACTGATGCATGTCAGGAGTTGCTTTCTAAAGACAAAAACATACAACTTCATCCCAAGCACAAAATTAGAGAATGTCAGTTCTTTTTTACTTATGTAATATGTATATGACCTTTTCCACTATGTGCGGTTTCATGAATTGCTTTGTGCTTCATAATTATTTTACTAGTCAAATTTAGCTAAACATCCATTAAACACTCTATTACATATTTTAAATATAGATATGTTGTGGAAAAGTTTTTTGTTTTGTTTTGTTTACTTTACATAGTATTTCCTATGTCCAAAAATATTAAAGAAGTATAAAGCGATATTAAAACTATTTTTTTCTTTAAATCAGTGTAAATAAACAGTAGATATTGTGTCAACTTGGCCCATTGTGTCAAATTAAAAGTGTAACAACATCCCCTGCTATAGGGCTATAAGTGTTATATGTATTTATTTTTTTCTTTCTTATCCATTGAAACATTCAGTAGCTTTTCTGTACTTTTGTAACAGAAGTGTTTATTCTTTTGGGATGAAATACAGCTTTACAATCTTTTATTTTATATACATTTAAATCAGTGTGCCGAAGAGACGGAATGACTTGAACAAGCAATGAAATTAGCCAATAAATAAATTATAATAAAATATTTCTTATCTTAATTCACTTCTTCAAAAACATTTTTTCTTTTCTTTGAAGAACATGGATTTCCACCATCTTGGAAAAACTGCGTATATGAGGTAATCTTATTTTAAAAGTGTGAAAAAGTCAAGTGAATTAAATCTCATCACATTTTATAATGAATATACATGTTTTAGGTATACCAAGCAATATTTTATCAGGCAGAAATCGTGTGTAAAAATATTTAAAATGTATAATTCTTATCCAGTAAATCAAGAAAAAACAGAAAAGTCATGGGGTCTTTGAATATTGTTGTGGACAATGTTGCATTGTGAAACGTGTTATTTACCAGCATGTGTTTAAAAGGTCAGTTCATAACTATATCTGACTTCCAATGTTTATATACAGGTGCATCTCAATAAATTAGAATGTTGTGGAAAAGTTCATTTATTTCAGTAATTCAACTCAAATTGTGAAACTTGTGTATTAAATAAATTCAGTGCACACAGACTGAAGTAGTTTAAGTCTTTGGTTCTTTTAATTGTGATGATTTTGGCTCACATTTAACAAAAACCCACCAATTCACAACAAATTAGAATACTTCATAAGAAAAATACCAATAAAAAAAACATTTTTAGTGAATAGTTGGCCTTCTGGAAAGTATGTTCATTTACTCTACATGTACTCAATACTTGGTAGGGGATCCTTTTGCTTTAATTACTGCCTCAACTCGAACCAAAGACTTAAACTACGTCAGTCTGTGTGCATTGAATTTATTTAATACACGAGTTTCACAATTTGAGTTGAATTACTGAAATAAATGAACTTTTCCACGACATTCTAATTTATTGAGATGCACCTGTATAATTCCGATGCGATGGCGCCGCATGCGATGGCGTGCGGATTCCGATGCGATGGCGCCGCAGACGGCAGCCTCAGTGTTTGACTCTCCAGTGTTTGTACTGTTTTTGTTAGTTTTTCCTGTTTTTTGTTTCTCAAACACGATCAGTTTTACCAGGGATGAGCTGCTGAACATTCGGCAGAACACACCACACAATCTTCTACCGGATTTCGTTTATTCGGACGTTTTGCTGAACGTTGTACTTGGCGGAGCAGCTGCGCTGATCAAGCGCTTCAGGACGCGCAGACGGGACAGTCAGGCACAAGAACAGTTTCTTTCCCCAGGCAATCTACCTCATGAACAGTTAATGTTCTCCCATTGTGCAATTAAAGTACAGTATGTGCAATAACCTTATACTTATTTATCACCCTAAATCCTAGTACATCCCTACAACTTTATTTTATTTTATTTTATTCTATTCCTATTCTATCTATAGCACACCTGTACATACAATTTATTCTTTTTTTGTGGCTTATATTTATGCATGTGTATTTTATTCACATCTTATTTTTATTATCTGTGTGTTGTTGTTGTCTCCGTGTACTGGAAGCTTGTGACACTATAACAAATTCCTTGTATGTGCAAACATACTTGGCAATAAAGTTCTTTCTGATTCTGATTCTCTGATTCTGATATAAAATCTATCTTCACCTCACAAGCAGACTAAAATAGTTCATGGAGAATTAAAGTTATCTTTAAGAGACAGCCATGACTGTCATTTAGGATGTACTAAGAAAGAAGATTAGATTATTGTGTATTATCACCACAAACCTGCATTCACAATACATATTTGACTTTATAAAAACACATTTACAGTGAGGATTACTGCAATCAGAGCACAAGATGCCTATACATATCCTCATTGAGTTTTATTCCTTTACATCCGCCCCTCGCCTCACTTTCTTAAAGGCAGTTGTCAATTCACAGTAAATTATTATAAATCACTTATCATTACCGCCAGGATTCACATCTCGTACTGTAAATTAACAAGACTAGCTAACGCCTTCTGCTTTATTTCACTCACCTGGCGAGCTGCTGTTAAAGTCCCGTCCACATCAAACAGGCACAGTGTTGTCGGGTCCACGCTTGAACCGGCCATTGTAAAATTTGCAAACTTTGTAAACCAGTGTACGATCCGTATGAAGTTTTGCAAAGACTCAAGTGTCAATCCTCCAGCATAAGAGTTTCAGTTCATCTATTCAGCAGTGCAACGTCACATCTTCCGTGTTGTCGGAAGTGTATTGGAGCGCCTGAGCTGCGCGTCAGAGTGAACGGCCTCCGCGTGCTCATGAACCAGCAGCAACCGGAAAGAAACAACAACACTAGGGCTTGTGTGTTACTGCTTTTGTGCAACAATTCCATAAACGAGAAGAATAAGTTGGATTTTCCAGCCTCGATGTACATAATAGTTTTAGCGCGTCTTATTGAGAGTTGTATATAGAATGACTTAATCTATTCCGCTCGCCCACACAGGGGGCGCTGTTGTGTTGTTGAGCGAGCCAGCTCTCATTTCCTCACATATACGAAGTAGCGGCATCTCAACCAACGAAACAAAACTCCTGCAAGTTCAAACTAGAGCAAGCGCCAAGAGAGACGGCTGTGAATAGTGAGGTACGTACTTTCTATCTCATATATTTATTAATTCTAAAGAAAGACACGCATGTTAGTGCGTTCTAGTATGTGAAAAAATTGTTTTATTGACGAATATTAGCGAGGTAAATTTAGCTGAACGCTTGCTAATTAAACACACTGAACTGTTAGCTTGTGTGATTTAACTTCAAATAGCGTCTCTGTTAATGTTTACCTCATAATTAAGTATTTTAAAGTAGTTTTATTTCGTTATTTCATCTGTATTAATGAGTTATTGAGTCGGAAAAGTTAATACCTTGTGTTGGACCATGTTCGATGAGAATACGACAGTAACGTTACTCTCTGAGAGACATTCTAGTACAACTTAACTTATACCGTTTAAATGTCACGATATATGAATAAGGTAGACCTTTAGTACCATGGTATGTAGCAAAGTACTATAGTATCGTCATCTGATACCATCGGGGAAAATATTTCCACGCTCAGTAAGTGTGTGTCAAGTGAGCAAGTGTCATCTTTTAAAACACCAGACCACTATGATATGATTTAATAGATGCTTTTTAATTAACTGTTAACAAAATATGAATTATTGAGATTCTTATGTTATGTTCAACAATGGGAACATACTAGAGAATGCTATATTTCGTTTTTTTTTAATAAAGAGACATTATTTGAAAATATTATTTTTTCATATTATTTTTGAAGAAAGTTGATAATTGAAATACACCTTATTCTTCACCATAAACTTTCAGGTATACTTATATTTTTTCAGTATTTATTTGTTAATAGCATCCTAAAGAGGTACAGAATGCATCCTCCTTACTATGTATTAGTATTATTTAATTTTTGGTAGGTTTCTTGAGGTAATAGAGGTTTATGAATGGCTTTTTACACTTTTATACATTTAAATTGTTCCTAACTCAGCAGAGAAGGCTGTCAAGACATAGTCAGTATGGACGATATGGAGGACACCACAATCTTCTCAACGCTAAAATCTTTCAAGAGTTTGATATCGGGTCCAGATCACTCTTTGCTGGAGACTGAGCCAGCCTATGGAAGAAGTGACCTTCAGAAGCTCTATACTAAAAGAGTGGAGGCAAGTCACAGACTCCTTTCATATTTTAGCCCTCATTTTTATTGAAATTTCAACTTGGTGGTCTCATAAAATGCAGTATGTCTCTTAAAAGAATAGTTCACCCAAAAATGAAGATTTGCTGAAAATGTACACACTCTCAGGCCATCCAAGATGAAGATGAGTGTGTTTCTTCATCAAAACGGATTTGGAGAAATTTAGCATCACGTCACTTGCTCACCAATGGATCCTCTGCAGTGAATGGGTGCCGTCAGAATGAGAGTCCAAACAGCTGATAAAAACATCACAATAATCTACACGACTCCAGTCCGTCAATTAACGTCTTGTGAAGTGGAAATTAAGCTGAAACTTAAGTAATTAAAACAATTTTAAATTCAAATCTTTGCTTCTGGCTAAAATAATATTGCTTTCTCGAGTAGAGTGCAAAAGTTGTCTGGTCTGAATCTTTCACAGACCAACCACCGTTCGCAAGCAAAAACAGTTCTAAACAAATATGTTGGTGGATTTTGATGTGAGAGTACAATAGTCTCTTACTTTAGGAACCGTTATTATGGATTATGTAGTCATATTTTACCCAGAAGCAACGGTTTAAAGTTAAAATGCCTTTAATGATGGATTTGTTTCTTACAAACGCACATCTTTCGCTTCACAAGACATTAATTGATGGACTGGAGTCGTGTGGATTACTTCTGGATTATTGTGATGTTTTTATCAGCTGTTTGGACTCTCATTCTGACGGCATTCATTCACTGCAGAGGATCCATTGGTGAACAAGTGATTTCTCCAAATCTGTTCCAAGGAAGAAACTCATCTACATCTTGAAATGCCTGAGGGTGAGTGAATTTTTAGTAAATTTTCATTTCTGGGTGTGAACTATTCCTTTAATATAGTATGTGTGGAGCAGATTACTGAATTTTTTGTTGTTGTGTGTGGTAGTTAGAGGAGGCTGCAGAGCGTGTCCGTTCTCACACTAGCCTGTTGCAGCTCACTCAAGAAAAACAACAGATGGAGCTTAGTCACAAACGGGCACGTATAGAGCTGGAGAAAGAGGCACACAGCAGCTCCAGAGACTTACAGGTGAGTGATAGTTGGCATATTCCTGAAAATCATGTGTTCTGCTGCAGTATTTTCTTTTACTGTTCCCTTACTCCCATTTTCTAAACCTATTCCTCAATATAAAAAAAATTGCAACCTAAAACAGAGTGTAAAAACACTGTAGACAAAATCCATTAGGATGTGATTTGGTGCGTTCAGGGCTAGACTATCCAGTCTTTGCTGTGAAAAACCTAATTTGACCTGTGTTTGTGTGTGTATGTGTCTGTCTGATTACATTTACAGAGGGAAATTGACCGTAACAGGGAGTTACTGTTGAAGATCAGACGTCTGGAAGAAAAAGAAGAGAAAGCAAATCAAGCTCTTAATGAACAAATGGAAAACAACAAGGCTTTAAAGCGTAACCTTGAGGAACTCCACAAGAAAGCAAATGAAAAAGACCGCAAACTTACCGAAGCAGACCAGGTGTGTGTGTTCATGTATCTTTTGTATTAGTATTTGTAGAGAGAGAAAAATGCTATAATGAAATGGTTTGATGAACTATTCAAATATTATTTCCTATTGAAACATAAGATTAGAGTGAAATATCAATGGTTGTAACTGTTTTTGTAATAGCCAATAGCTGCTAGGTCACCTCACAGCCTGCCAAAATCATGGTTTGATGCTTACTAGTGCAATTCCTGTCAGCATTTTATTAGACAACAAAACTGACAGGTGCCTCTGGAATAATAACAGTCATATAAAATTTTTTTGAGAAGGACAATGCAGAATAACATAATTGTTAAAGTTTCATGCAACAAATGCCCTGCATGTCGACTTCTGTGTGACTGAATGTCAAGATATGTGAATGTACATAACTAAATACATGCAAGCATATATACATTAAACTTCCAAAGTTTGGGGTTAAGAATTTTTGAAAAATTATTTTTGAAAGAAGTCTCTTATGCCCCAAAGTTGCATTTATTTGATCAGAAATACAGTAAAACAGTAATAATGTTAAATATTATCACAACTGTTTTCTATTTTAATTTATTTTAAAATTTAATATATTCCTGTCATGGCAAAGATAATTTTTTTCAGCAGTCATTACTCCAGTCTTTCCGTCGTCGTCTTATTATTGTTAATGTTGAAAACGGATGTACTGCTTAATTTATTTGTGGATTTTTTTTCCAGGGTCCTTTGCATAATAGAAAGTTCAAAAGAAAATCATTTATTTAGAATAGAAAACATATGTAACATTACAAATATTTTAACAGTCACATTTAATTAAGTAAATGTGACCTTGCTGAATAAAAGTATTAATTTCTTTCAACAACAAAAACAATTCTTACTGAGCCTGAACGTCTGAACAGTCGTGTACATGCACAAAAATTAAAATGACTGTTCGCAAATCTAGTTTTGTTTAAAAAATTAAAAAATATATTTTTCTGTTAATACAGTTTGGATTCCAGTTGTTTAATTGAAGTATTTTGTTTATGTTGTAGATGATCAGTGAGTTGAAAGATGAGACACGAAGGCTCAATCAAAAGATCCAGATTCAGGAGTCCAAATTCTCAACCCAGAACCTGGAGATTCAGGCCCTGCAGGAACAACTGGATGTACAGCGCAAGTATGAACTCCCATGTACACAAACACACACAGTTTTTCTCATACTCTCTCTTAAATACAGATGTACTGTGTTGTTTTTCATCTGATGCTAACAGGAAGTACAAGGATGTCAGTCAGAGGTACCAGAATCTGCAGTCATCTCATTCCATCAGCACAGAGAGTGAACTCAAGATGAAGGTATTTCTGTTTGTCTTATTCTTGAATTTCTATGATGTTTGGAGCACTGAGGGATAGGGCTGTGCAATTAATCGCATGCGATTGTCATGCGCATCTCGTCAGTAAAGTGGGTTCCGTGATTGGTAGTAAATCGCCATCACCTGCTTTCAGATGGAGCGGCATTTAATACACGGAGCCGTAGTTCACTAACAAGCTAGGCGATATCGCATTCATAATCGAATGCGATTCATCTGTGATTATGAACGTGATATTGCCTAATTGTCAGTGAACTACGGCTCTGTGTAGTGAATGCCGCTCAATCTGAAAGCAGGTGATGGAGATTTACTACTAATCATGGGACCGGCTTTACTGACGAGATGCGCATGACAATCGCATGCGATTAATTGCACAGCCCTACCGAGGGATGTCAGAAGCACTGGTACTTAAGTACCAAGTCAGTTAAAAACATTTGCACCATGAAATTGCCTTTTATTTGTGTCCCACTCACTCTTATGGGTGCTATCCTTCTGCAGGAGTTGGAGAGGCGTTTGGCTCTTCAGGAGCAAGACTCTGTGATTGTGAGGAACATGAAATCTGAAATGGTCAGGCTGCCTGAACTGGAGCGGGAAATTAAACGTCTGCGGGAGGAAAACGCTTTCTTACGGTATCAACATTCTCATCATCAAACTTTTTCTGTGATGGATGCATACATAAATCATTATAGTACTACTTTCAATTATCTCTCAATTTCCATCTCAGAGAGACAAAAGAGAACAACAGTCTGCTGAAAGAAGAGACT